TTGCTTCTGCTGCTGCTTTGTGTCTCCTCTTTGCAGCGGTTTTCCTCTTCCCGCAACGGCAATAATAATGCATTAGATGTGTGGGGCCCGGAGCCCCACTAGGATGCAGCAGCAGCAGCAGCAGCAGCAATGACAGCGGTAGCAGCAACAGCAGCAGCTGCAGCAGCGACAGCAGCAGCTGCAAGAGCATGATTTTTAAGACTACGCGGAATTGCAATACAGCGGCTAAAGAGCAGCAATAGATACTGCAGGAGCAGCAACAGTGCTAGCAGCACCTGCAGCAGCAGCAGCAGCAGCAGCAGCAGCAGCAGCAGCAGCATCAGCAGCACGCAAGCACTGGCACAACTTCTGGATGTACAGCTTTAGATGTCGGGGTTATTGGGGTGTACGTACACCGCAGCACCTCATCTGTCTTTCTCTCGGGTGTACGTACACCCCATTCATCACGTATCTTTCTTCTATACAAGAAAAGACAGAGAGTTAGGGGGGCCCTCGAGCAGCAAATTTGTTGCTGCATTTTAAAAGGGCCCCTCTAATTTGTTCTTTATCTGTCTTGTCTCTCTTTTTCTTTGTTTTGTCTATCAGTATGCTGGCATTCGTGTATAATACTGCTCGCTAATCTATTGCATAAATATATATAATATATATAATATATATAATATATAATATGTGATATATATATTTTATGTTATATGTATTATATGTATTATATATTTCCGCTGTCTCCCTCCGCTGGGTGCGCCTGGGCTGGCGTCTTTGAACAGACTAAGGCGATTGCCCTCAGGCGTGAGTAAGGATTTATTATACTGCATTTAATTATTATTTTTACGTAAATAGTAATACTCTATTCTATTATACTAAATGAAAATACTATTTTATAATAAATAGTAATACAACTGAAGAAACCCGCAGACAACCCCTCATCCTCAGTAGCAGCAGCAACTGCTGAGGGCAGCAGCAGACTCTGTCTCTCTTGCATTAAACAATTCGGAATAATATCTGAAAAAAATTGTTTGGTTTCCGCGCTGGATCGTTGCGTCTGTACCCCCGAACTCGTAAGGGGATCGGGTGTACGTACACCGCCTGAGTTATTGCAAGTAAAATGGATAGTAAATACTTCGTCAGGTTAGCCGTTATCTAATTGTGGTGTGTGTATGAAGAAGAAGTAGCGCAGCAGACGCTAAAATGAAGATGAGTTTTCTTTTCTGCTTTCCAGCGACTCAACAAGTACGTACAGAGGGCAGTAGGGAGGGGTTTTTGCCTCGAAGTTTGTTTGTTTTTCATCAGTTGTCTGTTTTTCATGAGCCTATATGGATTTAATATAATTTTAATAAAATGCAGAATGATTCTAGTAATGAAGAGGCTTCAGGAAATATGACGGACGCACGTTGGCGGCAGTTCATCGGAGCTGCCGATACACCCGAAATGAGCAGGGGTGTGAATGCAGGTTTCCGGGGGTTTCCATGGACATTTTTCTCTGTTTAAGGCTAATTATTGAATAACACACTATTAAAGATGTTGTTTCAGGACGAAAGCAGAAAATTCGTCTTTTTCGTGCAGGAAACCTCCCCTTCTGTTCGGCTTCAGTAGGCGGCGCCGTCGGCTGCCCGCGGGTTCCCATCGCCTCCGTTGTTTGTAATTTCCTTATACATCTGATTTTTATGTTCCTTTTCAGTGTTTTCCACTTTTTAACTAACAAGTGAAGCCTTTTAAAGGCTAAAAACTCCCCCTTTACACCGCAGATCACCGCCAGTGCCGCCTCGCCAACTACGGCCGAACCGGAACGAGCACATGATCGCCGGTTTGTGAATTCGTCACCTCTTCCCACTTCTTTTGATATTTAATTTATTTAAAGATTCAGTCACTCATCTTCTAAACTTTAATGCCCTTCCTGGGGCCCCAGGAGGCCCCCCGGCTCGCAGAGGGCAGCTAGCCGGCCACGGGACAGCGTCATCGAGACCCAGTCTTTGTCGTCTTCCTTTCCTTCTCCCCTTCATCTTTTATTAAGAGCCTACGTTTAAAGCAGGCGCTGCAGCAAATAAACCAGCGGCAGCAGCGACAACACCAGCTTTAACACCAGGAGCAGGAGCAACTGCAGCAGCAGCAGCAGTAACAGCAGCAGCAACAGCAACAGCAGCAGCAGCAGCAGCAGCAGCAGCATGTCCCGTGCAGACCCCACGGCCAAAAGGCCTGTGGCCGAGTTCTGGGATTCATGGAGTGACAGCAACTCAGACTCACTTGAGGGGCCCCTGGGGGGCCCCCTGTCTCTTGCCTGCTGGGGAGACAGGCCCGCTGCTAATGATAAATTTCTTATGGTTTGCCCTGAAAGCCCGCAGCAGCAGCAGCAGCAGCAGGGAAGCGGCTTGGGGGCCTCTGATTCAGTGCAGTCTATGAATGCCTCTCTGCCGGTGCAGCAGCAAGGCAGCAGCACCAGTCTTGTACAGCTGAAGACAGAAACTTCTGCTGCTGAGCAGCACAAGGCTAAGAGAAAGTCTCGACATGCATCAGCAGCAAAAGCAAAAGCCACCAGAGCAGCAGCAGGGGGCCCCCGAGCGGGGCGGACGAAGGGGGCCCCCAACGATAAGACAGAGCAGAAGAAGCAAAAAAAAGATAAACTCAAACTGAAGACAGAAAAAAGAAAAACAAACAAAAAGAGCAGCAAATCGGCGGCAAGAGGTGCAGCAGATGGCACAGCAGGAACGAAGCTGAAGAAGCAGCAGCCAGAACAGCAGCAGCAGCAGCAGGAACAAGAGCTGCAGCAGCAGGAGCAGCAGCAGCAGCAGCAACAGCAGCAGCAGCAGCAGCAGCAGCAGGAAGGTAGGTCCTTGTACTATGACTCTCAGGGCCGCCCGCTGCGTCTCCTTTCCTCGGGTCGCTTTGAGTTGATGGAGCCGTACGCTGCCTCCCTATCACAGACAGCAGCAGCAGCAGCAGCTGCTGCTGCAGGAGGCAGCAACAACCCTTGTGCATTAAAAGTACGACGAGAGTTTGCTGCATCTCGTGTGGGGCTGTCAGCAGCAGCAGAAGATGTTTATATTAGGCGACTGCCGCGCAGATGCCCCAACAGCCTGCAATGGAGCAGCAGCAGCAGCAGCAGCAAACCGATTATCCCTGTGAAGGTGCGGCTGCTGCACCGAGAACCAAAGAAAGCAGTAAAAATAATAGAACAGACAGTAAGGCCGCCGACGCCTATAGAAGAAGGCACTCTTCATTTTCAGCTGCTGCAGGTGCAGCAGCAAAAAGATAAAGAAACAAGAAGAGCTGTAGCATACAACTGGCAGACAAAGCAAAACAAAAACCTCGCGAACACCCTTCTTGCAGCTGCTGCTGCTTCTCCTGCTGCTGCTGCTGCTGCTGGTAGTGATAGTGCTGATGGTGCTGCTGCGCATCAGCATACAAACGATCCCTCTAACGCTGCTGCAGCAACAAACGCTGCAGCAGCAGCTGCTGCTGACGGCGCCGCTGCTGCACCCTTTCATAACAACACACAGCAGGGTGAAGAGCAGCAGCAGCTGCAGATGCAGCAAACTCAAAACAAGCAACAGCGAAACCAGCAACAGCAGCAGCAGGCTGATCTGCAGCAGCAGCAGCAATGGGACCAGCAGCAGCAATGGACTCCTGAGCAGCAGCAGCAGCAGCAGTGGGAGCAGCAGCAGCAGTGGGAGCAGCAGCAACAGTGGGAGCAGCAGCAACAGTGGGAGCAGCAGCAGCAGTGGGAGCAGCAGCAGCAGCAATGGGTTCCTGAGGAGCAGCAGCAGTGGGGCATCGGCTCGCAGCAGCAGCTTTGGCCTGCGCAGCAGCAAGACGGGCAGCAGCAGGAGCAGCAGCAGCAGGAAAGCAGCAGCAGCACAGAAGGATGCAGCAATGTGTATTCATGCCCCTGGAGTTCGGGTCCTATATACTGCATTTGCTGCAACAACAACGAAGATGAGCAGCAGCAAACACTGATGACAGCCCTGCAGCAACCTGCTGCTACTCTGCTTGCCTGCTGCCCCGTCCACGGGGCCCCCCACACTCAGCAGCAGCAAGAACAGGAGCAGCAGCAGCAGGAGCAGCAGTTGCAGCAGCAGCACGAATTGCAGTTCCAGCAGCAAGAGCAGCAGCAGCAGGAGCTGCAGCTCGAGGAACAGCAGCAACAGCAGCAGCAGCAGCAGCAGCAGCAGGAAGCGAAGCAGAAGGGATCTGTCGGTGAGGGTCTACTGAGAGGTGTTGCTGCTTGGTTCAGCAAGTTGCCTGCTGCTGCTGCTGCTGCTGCAGGGGCAGCAAAAGACAAAGAGGCAGCAGAGGCAGCAGAAGGCGCAGCAGCAGCAGAAGAAGGAGCAGCATCAGCAGCACCAGGAGCAGGAGATGAAGCAGCAGCAGCAGCACTAGCAGCAGCAGCAGCAGCAGGGCAAGTCTGCGAAGTGAAGCGCCCGCATAAGCTGTCACCTCAAGCTATCAGCAGCAGCAAAACAGCTGTTGTACCTATTAAGCTGAGGGTGTTGAAAGCAAAGAGAGTCGGTAGAAGACCTGCTGCTCCTGCTGCTCCTCCTGCTGGTCCTGCTGCAGTTGCTGCTGCTAGTGAACACTGGCCGTCTCGCAGCAGCAGCCCAGCAACAACACCTCGCTCAGATGGTGCAGCAGCAATTAGATTTGTCCTGCTGCAAGCTCAAGTAAGAAAGGACAAAGAAAAGAGGAGGCTAGTTGCCTTCTATCCACCTGTTCATACACCGCAGCAAACAGCAATCTTGCGGCAGCAGCGCTTGCTGCAGCAGCAGCTGCAGCAGCAGCTGCAGCTGCAGCAGCAGCAAGACAGATGCTGCGCCCCTGCTGCTGTCAGCTGCAGCGCAGCATGCAGCCTCTTCAGAGAGGCCTCACAGGATTCGCAGCAAACAGCAATAACCATCAACTTCCAGCATAGGACGTCGCTGCAGCAGCTGCAGCAGCTGCAGCAGCAGGCAGGGAGCGACTCGGAACGGCAGCTGCAGCTGCAGCAGCTCATTCTGCAGCAGCAGCAGCAAAGAGAAAGATATCTCCAGCTGAGCCAAAAAGAACAGCAGCTTCAGCTGCGCCTTCAGATGCTGCAGCAGCAGCAGCAGCAGCAGCAAATCATGCTATCCCCTTCATCTTCTGAGCACTCTTTCACAGCCACATGCGGCGTCTCCTCAAAGGCCCTCCAGATCGCAGCAAGAGCAACAGCAAAAGTAGCAGCAAGGCGTGAGGCTGCTGCTGCTGCTGCCGAGGCTGCTGCTGCCGCTGCTGCTGCTGAAGCAGCAGCTGCTGAAGCAGCAGCTGCTGAAGCTGCTGCTGCAGAAGCAGAGACGGATGAAGCAGCAGAAGCAGCAGGAGCAGAAAGCAGCAGAGACATCTCAGTGATTGTCGTTGAAGAGACAGCCCAAGCAGCAGAAGCAGCAGCAGCATCAGAGGAGCAGCAAGAGCAAGAAGTATGCCTGGGGGGATCCATTGAAGCTGAAGGAAGCATCAGAAGCAGCAGCAGAAGCAGCAGAAGCAGCAGAAGCAGAAGCGGCTTGTGCTTCAACTACTCTCTCCAGGCACCCGAGGGCTGTGAAGCTGCTGCAGCAGCAGCAGCAGCAGCAGACAAAGGTTTTGCTGCCAGAGGCATCGGCTGCTGGATCTCAATGAAGGCCTCATGCCTTGCACCTCCCTGCTACCCGCAGCAGCAGCAGGAGCAGCAGCAGGAGCAGCAGCAGGAGCAGAAGCAGGAGCAGCAGCAGGAGCAGCAGCAAGAGGAGCAACAGCAAGAGCAGCAGGAGCAAGAGCAGCAGCAGCAGCAGCAGGAGGATGAGCAGCAGCAGCGTCTTAACACGGCAAGCAGCGGGAGGACCTCTTTAGCAGCAAATTCAGAGAAGTTTCTGACTACGTTTGCGCTGCAACCCGAAGAGCTGCAGCAGCAGCAAGAGCAGCAGCAGCAGCAGCAGCAACAGCAGTGTAGCATTAGCAAGATGTCCTACTGCTGCGTCGCCTCAGCAAGGAGCAGCAGGAGCAGCAACAGAAGCTTAGATTCAAGAGATATCAGCAGCAGAGCTACCCTCCTCACCTACCGTTCACAGCAGCAGCAAGACCAGCAGCAGCAGCAAGACCAGCAGCAGCAGCAAGAGCAGGAAGCAGCCTATATCATCAACTCCACTTGGGGGGGTCCTCTTCCCGAAGGTGACCCCTGTGCTCTTACGGGGCCCCTGGGGGCCCCCTTGGGGGCCCCCCTAGGGGCCCCCCTAGGGGCCCCCCTTGGGGCCCCCCTAGGGGCCCCCCTTGGGGCCCCCCTAGGGGCCCCTTACTTATCGGGTGAGGTAATTGAGGCTGCACCTGTACCTCTAGAGTCTTTGCCTTTGGAAGATCAGCTGCGAGTGAGACAAGCTGTAGAAGAATACATGCTGCAGCAGCAGCAGCAGCAGCAGCAGCAGCAGCAGGGGGATGGGGAGGTGCTGCAGCAAGAGCAGCAGGAGCAGCATTGGACGCAGCAGCAGCAGCAATACGAGTTTATGCTGCAGCAGCAAGGAGATCCTAACAGCCTACAAGCCTATTTACCTCCGGAGTTTTATGCTGCTGCTGCTGCTAAAGGAGAGACGACAACAACAGCAGCAGCAGCTGCTGCTGCTGCTGATGGTGCAGCAGCAACTGCCATGGAAGGCCCTGCCCCTGTGTGGGTCTTGGCCTATCCACCCCCAACAGAGCAGCAGCAGCAACAGCAGCAGCAGCAACAGCAGCTGCAGCAGCAGCAACAAGTCGTCGTCCTCCCTCAACAACTCGAACAGCTGTTGCTGCTGCAGCAGCAACAGCAACAGCTCCTGCTGCAGCAGCAACAGCTGCAACAAGAGTTGAGCGCTGCAGCCGCCAGCAGCGCATTCGTAGCAGGAGCAGCAGAAGCAGCAGCAGCAGCAGCAGCAGCAGCAGAGTTAGAAAACTCCCCTCCGGATCAGTGCTTTGCCTGCGGCACCTGCAGCAGCAACTGCTGCTGCATGAGCAGCAGCAGCAGCAGCTACAGGAAGGTTGAAGAGTCTGCTACTGGAAGCTGTATCACCGGATGCTGCTGAGAGGCCCCCCTCCTTTAGGGGCCCCTAAAACTGCGCTGCAAAGGGGGCCCCTCTAAAGGAGGCGCTCTCTTACTGCCTTTTATTATAATAATAACAAGGGGACCCCCATGAGGGGCCCCTCATGAGGGGCCCCTCATGGGGCCCCCCTTCCTGAAAGCTTCAACATGGAGGCCCTTTGGGGGGCCCTTGGGGATACTGGGGGCCCCTTAGGGCCCCGTGGAGGCCCCTTATGGCCTCTTAGCCGCCCTAAGGAGGCCCCTTGGGGGCCCTGGGGGAGCCCCCTTGGGGGCCCCTGTGGGTCCTTAGGTGCCCTGGGGGGCCCCCTCAAGGGGGAACCTGGGAGGCCCTTGGGGGCCCCCTGCGTAGCCCTTCGGGGCCCCTGGGGAACCTGGGGGGCCCCCTGGGGGCCCCCCTTTCCCGTTACTGTACCCTGGAGAGTGCTTGAAGGCTTTTATGTCTGAACACTGAAAGATATTGCTTTGCCTCATATAACACCCGCATCTAAAGCAACTAAAGATTGGGTTTATTAACCTCACTTCTGCTGCTGCTGCTGCTGATGGGGGCCCCTAACGAAAGGGAGGAGGATAACATCCCCAGGGCCCCCCTGGGGGCCCCCAGGGTTTCAGGAGCAGCACTAGAGGGGCCCCTAGGGGGGCCCCTAGCAGGCCGCAGTTTTTGTGTTGTTATTTAGATGCAGACTCGCGAGGGTTCACTCCTTTATGTTGTTGTCTGCTACCCCTCTTTTAAAAACTCAAGGGGAGACAGGGTTTAGGACAGCAAGCTAGCTAGCTAGCTAGCTAGCTAGCTGTCCTAAACCCTAAACCCTAAACTCCAAGCACTGGCCCTAAACCCTAAACTCGAAACCCTGACCGTAAACCCTAAACCCTACGCCCTAGGCCTAAACCGTAAACTCTACACCCTGGCCCTAAACCCTAAACCCTAAACCCTAAACCCTAGCACTGAACTCTAAGCCCTACCTCAGCGCCCTACCGCTGGCTTCCACACAGCGCGAAAAACCTTCGATTCAAATTTGTTGCTGTGGCAGGGATAATAAGTCCCCATAAGGCCAGCCAGCTAGCTAGCTAGCTAGCTAGCTAGCTAGCTAGCGGTGGCGGTGGCTCCCAGCTAGCCAGGGGGGCCTCGTAGCAGCACTCCGAAACCTGAGGGCCTCAACGAGACAGCTGGGATTCCTCCCCCTTCAGTCATGCAGCAACCGCCGCTGCAGCTAACGACTTGCGCTTGCTGCTGCTGCAGTTGCTGCTGCAGTTGCTGCTGCTGCTGGCATTTTGCTACAGCAGCAGCAGCCAGCCCGCCTGAGCTGTGCAACTCCTACTGAGCCAAGCTATCGCTGCCACTGCTGCTGCTGCTGCTGCTGCTGTCGCTGTTGCCGCTGCTGCTGTCGCTGCTCGGTGCGAACAAGAAACAGCAGCAGCAGCAGCAGCAACATTAGCAATAGGAGCAATGCGTAGACAGTCCCCTCCCCCCCCATTGTCATCTCTTGCCGGTTGCTGCGACGCGCTGCAGCAGCAGCAGCAGCAGCGGCAGCTAGGGTAGCAGCAGTTGCTGCTGCTGCTGCTGCTGCTTCCGCTTCTGTCAGCCCGTGGGGCCCCCTCCTCCAACCCCTTTGGGGCGGGGTGAGGGGCCTAGTATCTTGGGGTTTGCTGCTGCTGCATTTGCTGCTGCTGCTGCTGCTTTGATAGGCGTTGTCCCCTGTACCGTTGCTACAGTACTTGCGATACTGTCTGGGCGGGGTGCTGCTGCTGCTGCTGCTGCTGGTGTTGCAGCTACAACTGTTGCTGCAGCAGCCGGAGCAGCAGGCGAAGGCCCTGTAACTGGGGGAGTGGTAGGAGCAGCAACACCAGCAGCAGAACCAGCAGCAGCACCAGCCCCAGCCCCAGCCCCAGCAGCAGCAGCAGCAGCAGGATTCATACCTGTAAGCTGCTGCATCAGGAGTCTTTGATGGTTCTCAGACGCCGTCCTTAGCGCCAGCTCTCTATCAAGCAGCTCTAAGGCTTCTTCAATTTCCTGAGTAAAACGACAAACTAAAGAAGATGAGTGCGGTGCTTGTTTAATATGCGGGAGGTACTCTTGATAAGCTATATCAGACCAAGGCAGCCGAAAAGATTTAGGGTTTACATCAAGCAGCAGAGGCCCCTCAATAGGGCCCCCTATATTATGACCCCCAGGGGGCCCCCCACCCCATGGTGGATGGGCATTGCTGCTGCTGCTGCTGCTGCTGCTTCCAAGTTCATGCTGCTGCTGCTGCTGCAGCTGAAACTGACCAAGGGGCCCCTGGGGGGCCCCTGGAGGCTCTCCTGTAAAGACGCGTTTATGATTATCTGATGTAAGCGTCCGAAGGTGCATAAAACGAGTGCGATAAGAACCCAACATGATTTCTTCTTCAAGCTGCTGTAGCAAAATTGTCTCCTTTCTCTCTGTATCTGCTGAAGTTAAAGGCTTTATATGGCTTTGTAAAGGGAGGGGTAATATGCCTTTAAACGGGTCTTCTTTATATGAAGTTACCCACTCTTCATATACAGCAAACTTTGGTGTTGGACGGGGCCTCCTTGTGCTTTTATTCTTCTGCTGTTGCTGCTGCTGCTGCTGCTGATGGTGATGATGATGCTGATGATGATGCTGTTGTTGTTGTTGTTGTTGTTGTTGCTGCTGCTGCTGGTGCTGGTGCTGGTGCTGCTGTTGCTGCTGCAGATGATGGTCTCCTACAGGCCTGTTGTTATGTCCTAGCTCAAGTGCCCCAGCTCTTCTTGTGCTTTTTTCTTGTCGTCTTCTCTCTCTGTCTACCCTTTGAGGCAAATGCTTTTTAAATAAATCAACCCAGAAATGAAAGGATGTTGAAGCCTGTATCTCTTGACGTAGATATGTAGAGTAAGAGCTCTCCTCCCACTTCTGTCTTACTGCACGGCCCCAGCGGCTCTCCGCAGTGTACGGCTCTGCTTCTTCTTTAGCTGGGGCTGGGGCTGCATGCGACAGAAGAACAACGTGAAGAGAGCAATATATGTAAAACAAAATCAAACTTATATACATCCACCACCTACTCACACGCACATTGGGAGGGCCCCAGAGGGGCCCCCCGTAGCCCCAACCCATCCCCCCCTGCAGCCTAAGGGCCCCTAAACCCTTAATATAGGCTGCTGCAGCACTAGATACAGTTCAATGAGAATATAAGAGAAGAATTCTCGCAGAAACAAAGAGCGCCACGAGTACCAGAGGAGGAAGAGGAGGAGGCTTCCAATAGAGAAACCAACGGTAAAACCCCAAAAAGAATATCTAAAGAGAATAAATAAACTCTAAAACGACGACAATATGCGTAAAGAAACCCTTAATACTCAAACAAGAACAGTGCAGGCGGAGGAGCGGTCACGATGCGTTTGTTGGGTTTCCGTAGGTTTCTTGGGATGAATAAGGGAATAAATGAAGAGAGAATGAATTTAAACACAATCAATAATGCTTCTAAACATTAAAACGCAGAAATATAACCCAGGAGAGCGAAGATACTCCTGGTTTGCTTCCTCGAGTTTTGCGGTGTACCGACACTGAAGGCTGTCACGCACTGCATTGTAGGAAAAAGAAAAAGTGAGGAATACAATAATAATTAGGAGTATTAATATCAATAAGATTATTTTCAAAAAGAAAATAGAATAAAAACAAGATATATTAAGACGGGGCTGCAGCTGCTCAGTAATGCAGCCGCGCCATTGCAGAAGCAGCAGCAGAGAGCTGCAGGTTGTTGTTATATAAAGAAAGAAGAATAGTTTTTACAATAATCTTTTTTATATATTAATTCATTTGTTCTTCTCCTTTTGCATGCATACGTGCATCTTGTTGGGGCTTATAGATATACAGCGCCTCACTTCTTATGCTCTTCTATTAGAATATTGACCTCTAATTCAAGAGGTAGCAACGGAGAAGGTTTTTTTTTAGAGTAAATAAATTAAAAAGGTGTAAATATTTATAGGGTATTTTTTGTAATAACAACAAAACAACGCCAGTAATTTGAAAATGCCTTATGGTGCATACAGCGGCTTCGATTCAGCTGCGTCTGTATACAATATAACATTTCCTTAGCTACAGTACAGTAGATACCGCGCATGCAAGCAGAAGCAATTACATACAATGTTATTGTTAGTGCAGACACCCGATGGGGGGGGTGGTTGTGCTTATATATGCATGCCCCTTGCAACACTAATTGAAAGAACAACAACAAGATGAAGGCCTCCACGCCTCTCACGTGCAGCAACAGGATAAACAGCAGCAGAATATCTCAAGGCAAATTCAAACAACTTCCTCAGCACGTTTGAACAGCAGCCTGAACAACAATAACAGCAACAACAACAACAACAAAAACAGCAACAGCAGCAAGAGACGAAGCAGCAGCAGCGGCAGCAGCAAGAGCAGCAGCACCATGTACTTATCCACCAGCACCAGGCCCTGCAGCCGCTGTATTCAGAACACTGAGGGTTTAGAGAAGAGATGTTTATTTGTTTTTAAAAATATTTTTCTGTAAGTCCTTTAGCTCGGTTGCAGCTGGTGGCGGGTATCGATTGATTTGATATTAGAAGAGGAGTGGCTTGTGAGCTGCAAAATATTCAAAATACTAAAAATAATATAATATAGATTGCTGCTTCTATTCTCCAAGCATGCTGAATACAGCAACCCAGGGGCATGCAGTTGCTACGTAAGAGAAGGGGCGGGTTATACGGCTCAATACGTTTTGCTGCAGCTGTTGCTGAAAGGAAAACTCAGATGCTAGTATAAGACCCCCTCTTCCTTTGCATATACTAGAATATTGTAGATATTTGCGAGACACTGATGCGGCCATCAGCAGCCAGCTCCACACAAGGAGAAACACAACCGCCAACTTCAGAGACGGGCTGCTGCACTTGCGCCTTCCCTCCTTCTCCTACTTCCCTCCTCTTCTTCTCCCCAGCAGCAGCACATTCATTGATATGCTACCGTCCCCAAAGGAGATGGATGCACTGAAGGAGCGCGAGACGGTAGCTAGAGTGGCTGTAGCCCCTATCACCGACGAGGTGGTGTGGGGCGTTAGGCCTTGTGGGGAGCGGCATCTAGAGGTGCTGCTGCTTTTGTTTTCTTCCGCTCCTCCTGACAGAGGTCCTGCTGCCGCTTCTATTTTCTGCTGCTGCTGCTGACTCGCTTCCCGTTGCTGCACACGTGTGCGGTTCTCTGTGCTCTTCACTTAAGTTGGGTGCCGCTTCTTACTGCGAAATGTTCAGCCTATTTGACTATCACCTGTAAACCGCCTCCAGCACTCAAACATCTCTGGGAGCATGAGGCAGGGGTCCAGCCTGCCCTACAGAAATGCACAAGATATAAAATATACAAAAATTAAGGTTTTATCGGCATCAGCGCCAAGCTAGCTATAGGTAGAGAAAGGGGAATGTGTTGTGCTGGTGGCGGTGAACCCGTATATAGGGAGATATGGGGCCCTCTACAGGACAGACAGTCGGCAGATTCAAGATAAGGTTGAAGCTCTGCGCTCGTCCACGCTTGTCTGAATTCTCAGTGAAGTAAGATGAACGCTTAGTTTTCTTTGAGGGATTGCTTCTGACAGACGATCTTTTGAAGGCCTTTCGGGTTGTCGATACCCTCTTCATTTAGAGTAAAATTTTTTTCTTTTTTGTTGCACCTTCTCTTCTTCCCAATGTCTCAGTCTCCATACTTAAGCAGCCGCTTGAGTATGGATGCAATCCCCGCACAGACACGCAGTTGCAGGAGACATCGATTGAGCTATAGGGCTTCATACCGAAGATTATTCCTTGGTGAATTAGCTCTATCTAGAAAACCTTTAAAAAGATAACATGAGCCAACTCAGAGCTGAGCCCGCACTTCACGCCATTAGTTTGCTATTTCGGGTGTACTGTCTGCTACCAGCTGCTGGACAAAGTCGGAGAGGCTCTGCGCAAGCTAATATGAATAAGCAATCTGATTGCACCTAATTGCAGAGGCTTCAGGTATCATTTTCGCTTCAAAACAGATATCCAGTACAGCTACCAACTCCTGACCATTAATACGAGCCTGGATACGCAAAGAGCTGACTTTAAGGGAGTATGCTGGTGGGGCTGCCGCTTGTTTCTTTCTTATCACTGCGCCGCATTTTGTAGGGGGCTTAGGGTGCTGCCTCGTTTCTTTTGTGGTTTCCCCTGGCGGTACTCTCACAATTCTCGCTGCCCCACTCCCTGAGCTCTTCCTAGACGTCTGCACTCACTCGCTGTGCGACTTTGTTTATTGCAAGTCAAGCAGATGGGCCTCTTACAACCTGCCGCCGGCTTTCTGTATGCCGAATTCATCAGCTTCCTCCTGTTCAAGCTTCGTGGCTTTTAGGCCCCTATATTTACAGGGTGTATATTGACGTTATATCCTAATTTATATTCGCCCTCCTTAGCTACGGGGGAGAAGGCTCCCTTTTTCTTGCATGATGTTGAATAAGTGCTCCATTATCATGCCAATCCCCACCCTACTACTTCTTATTTCCTTCTTCGCGGCTAAGCCAGTCAGTATTGCCTTCCTCCGAGAGATTACTCTGCGATCAACAATTGATATAGAGGCTCTGAGACGGCCACTGGGCACTTGTTACAAAAGGCAAACAATCGATAGAGCTGTAGATCGAGAAGTACAAGTTTTCTTTCGCTAGGTTTTCTCAGTTTTAGCATAAGCCTGCTACCTTAACGGCCTGGGAATTATAGGCATACATCACAGCGCATGCACGGGAAAGGTGATGAAAAAACAAGATTAGATTAGATACATAAAATATATCTAATCGAATTAGATTATACTAGATATATTTCATCTATCTAATCTAATCTTGGTTAGATAAAATCAACACTGTTACTGGGCCACCCGTTCTCGTAGGATGTTAATGGCAACTGTAGCCCTTCGCATGCAGTTTGAGAAGGGAGGCACAACTAAAGATATGCAAGGAGCTTCTCTACTGTCCCGTAGTCTCGGCACCCGTCAGATCTGGACTGGGAGCAAAGGCGAAGGTATTTCTTTATTCGCGAGGTGAAGACATTTTCCTGCAAAGGAGATGCCGATATTATGCATGTTCACATGCGAGGAGGCACCAACCCACTGGTGGCTTAGACCCAAAGAGACAGATCTCTTTGGGTCTTATTAAGATTATTATCAAGACAGATCTTGATAATAATCTTAATAAGCCTTCAGTATACGAGAAGAGGAAGCTAGCTGCTTCTTTGACAGCGACTTCTGGGAGAAGATCTCAGAGTGCGCTTACCCCTTGCATTTGCAAACAGATGCCTTCATGACTGTGCTCAGGGAAATAGAACAGGCTACTCAACTGTGGAAACAGAGATCGCTGCCTATTAGCCATGCGGTGCTACGAAGCGTAGCGAGGCTCCTCAAACTTCAGCTGTAGAGCAATCAAAGGCATAAAGGAAAAGTAGCCCCAAAGCAGGTAGCCTCTTCTACAGGTAGCACACCTTAGAACATATCCAGCTGCAAAGCAACCCCGCATGCAAGTACGAGCAAGGAACAAGCCCCGAGAGGATTGTAGAGCATCTCCGCATGCATGCATGCATGCAGGTAGTAATACAGGTAAGAACCCCATATATACTACGCTCCATAGAACATGTTTGCTTGGCTGTACTGCCCCTTCATCCTCATTATAATAACTACTCTTCGCTGATAAGGCTGTTAATGCACTATATACTTATTTCTTTTGTTTGATTTATATAGCTCAAGTTCTCCATAGAAGGAGTTCGGGTGTATATACACCAGAAGTCTGCGTTCGCAGCCATCAGGCGCTGTTGCTACTAAAGGTGGTGCGAGTTGCAGGAGAATAGAATATTTGTTTTGAAGTAAAAATATGCATAATATATACGAAAAGTATATTTAATTTAGTTTTTTTGCAATATTCTGCTGCAAGAAGAGACATTGAGCGCATGCATGCAGCACGGTCAGGGCTGTGGGGGCGCTGCTCCCCCACAGGGTCCGTTAGGGTATAATATGTTTGGGGTTAGTGTGTAGAGTTTGAGTATTTTGAGAGTATTTTGTTTGTTTTTGTGGATTTGTTTCTTCTGTCTTTTTGTATAGCCAGTTGAAAATGGGCATTTCAAGAGACAGAAGGCACAAGCACCGCAAGACGGGTGGCCGCTTCCCCATTCATCAAAAGAAAAGAAAATATGAGTTGGGGAGGCCTGCAGCAGTAACTAAACTTGGCTCGAAAAGAGTTCGGCCTGTTCGCTGCAGAGGAGGAAATATTAAACATAGGGCCATTCGTTTAGACACAGGCAACTACTGCTGGGCAAGCCAGAGTGAGTCTCAAGCATATCAGCTTGTTTCTCATTCTTTCTTCTCCTTCTTCTCCTTCTTCTGCTCATTTCCTGCTTTTCTCTCCGCTGCATACAGCTGCAAAATGAGAATTATATTTTCAATAGATACAACAGGCTTCTCTTCGGGCTGCTCGATCCGTTGCAGCAGAATATACATGCATGCTCTGGCTCTAATTCCGCGCATGCATGCGTTCATGCTTGCATCGTTCTGAGGTGTATTTCTCCTATTTGGGGTTCTTCTGCTGTTTTCTTTGAGTGCAATTCGAAGAGATGCGGGGGTCTGGAAGCAGCTCTTAACTGTTCTTTTGCATGTTTCTTACCTCGGGCCTGTCTACCTGGTGGATTGAAGTATGTTTTGTGTTTTATACGAGAGTAAAATGTGGTATTTATATGTGCTTTCCCTCCTGTTCTGCTGCAGAAGTTGCAAGAAAGACCCGTATCCTGAATGTGGTTTACAACGCCTCTAACAACGAGCTCGTCCGCACAAATACTCTCGTCAAGAACTCTATCGTGCATATTGATGCAACTCCATTCAAAGCCTGGTAAGAATCCATCGGCTTTCCTCCTCATTTTCATGTATCTATTCAAATATTCTGCAGCAATGCATGCACGTGCATACCCGGGTTAGCTGAGGTGTACGTACACCTCAGCTATTATCAGCACCTATTTTTTATATTTCTTGAATTTCTTCATTTTGCCTCTAATTTTGTTGGTTTTTATGCTGCATTTGATGAATATTTCTGAATAAATGTTTGGTTTATGTTGTTTTCATTTGAAAAGACGATATTTGTTTTTTTTCTTTTTTGCAGGTTTCGCTCGTACTACGGCCTGGATATAGGGAAGAAGACTCAAGGAGAAGGAGAGGAGAAGCCACCGTCAAAGCACACTCTGTATGCTCAAGAACAAAGAAGAAATAAGGGAACACCTAAGGTTGATCCTCTTCTAGAAGAACAATTCAATACTGGCCGATTGCTTGCATGCATCAGCAGCAGACCCGGCCAAGTTGGGCGTGCGGATGGTTATATCTTGGAGGTGAGTATATTCTTCTTTATTATTATTATTATTATTGTTATTTTCATTTTCTATATCTTCGAGTATCTTTCTTGTCTTTATATAAAAGAATTTCGCTAACAAAAGTGCTGCACTCAAATACCTAAACGCACACACTCACTACACCCATTGTTCATGTTGAATGTACACCGCATTTTATATATTCATACAGCCGCGAATAAAAACAAATGGCGCTCTGTTTGCTTGCAAATACAAATGCAATTTATAGCAGCTCGTCTATTAGCGGCTGAGAAACAGGCAGAAGTCTGCGGGGGTGTAGCGAAGTATATCTTCTCGTTCATCCTCTTCACGCTCCTGCAACAAATAAAATAAAATAAAATAAAATAAAATAAAATAAAATGATTGCTCTGTCTTTGTTTTGTAAGAGGGTCGGCTTCTTTTGTTTCTGCTGCTTTTTTGGTGTATAGGGGGAGGAATTGTTGTTCTATAAGCGCCGTATGGATAAGAAGAAGCACAAGTAAATTAATTAAGTAGAGGTATCTTGAATTAAAGATTTTCTTCTTTATTTATTAAATAAAGAAGAAATATCTTTATTCAAGCCAGACAGAGAGAATAGGAGAGGGAGCTTCCTCTTCTGTTTTTCTCTGTCTCCTTTTGCAAGACTCATTATAACGGGAGGAGGCCCCTTTAATGTGGCTGTTCATCTTTTGTTGTTGTCTTTATGTTGCTTATACACCTGAAATAGATAATAGAAACAAAGTAATGCACAATAACAAAAAGAAATAGTAGCAGCAACACCACTTTATACAGATGCTGCTGCCGTTCAATATCTATTAGCATTTATACCTTTCAGGATTAATAAGGCTACAGAGAGGGAGGAGTATTTGTTTTTATTATATGTTTATATTTAAACAACATTTACGATTATTAGTTAGAGTTGCAGAGTTTATAGTTGACTCCCTTCTTCCCTTTTAGGTGTATGTACAGGAGGTATAAGAGATATTTTCTAAGGAGTTTTGTTTTTCTTTTCAATTTGTGTTTTAAATATATTATTGTTTGCTGCATATTATGCATCATAGTTGTCCTCTAAAGGAATATATATATATATATATATATATATAAAGGTAATATATTAGTTGTTCATTGGAGTCGTGAGAGACGAATATTATTTTCCTGGTTGTTTTCTGCATGTTTTATATTTGCATTATTGTTTAGAGAGGTGCAAATGCATATAACTTTACTTTAAATAGATTTGTCTATTATACTGCTGCTCTTCTTTTGCTGTTTTTCTTGTATGGATTTAGTTGTTTTATTGAGTTGTCTTTTATGCTACTGTTGTTCACTAATAATGTATATTCTCTAATATACACTTTACTTGTTTTCTAATATATATATATATATATATATATTATATATGTATATATATGCTCTTTATTAAACTTGTTTGCTTATGGTGTATATTAGATATATATTCATATTTCTCCTTTAGATATGCTATTGTAATTGCTCTATATAATATACACCGCGAGCGAACAAGTATAATATATAACAGATATAACATATAAAATAGCATATAAACATATATATTATTAACGATAATTTGTGGATTAGATATGCTATTGTAGTTGTTCTATATTATACATATTGCATAGAAAGAGGAGAAAAACAAGAATAAAGAAATAAAGTAATTGAAAAGAGACAAAGGGTCGGGTGTTTGATATAAAAGAAAGAAAAGAGTTATATTAGCTGCTGCCTGTGCAGAAGAGAGGGGAGAGACAAAAGGAAGTAAACAAATAGAAGAAGACAATAAACAGCCTTCTGCTGTTTAATGATAAAGAAGAGAAAGAAGAAAGAAACGAAAAAATAATATTTTTATACTTGTTTTATTTCTTTTTCTTTCTCCTTTCAAGGCACAACACAACCATCAAGTAGAAGAGGCAGAGATGCATTTTATTATTACTTTTTATTTCTTTTTATTTCTTTTTATTACTTTTTATTTCTCTGTTTTTATTCTTCTTTCTGTTTGCTTCAACGCACAATTGAGCCATCAGGGAGAAGAAGATAGGCCTTGTATTTCTTTTTAATTTCTTTTGCATTTCTTTCTGTTTCTCTGTATTTCTTTGTATTTCTTTTTATTCTTTTAAGGTATAACAGAACCATCCGGGAGAAGAAGAGGCTCTCTATATTTCTTTGGTTGTGCAAAATGATTATTGTATACTTTCCTCAACTGTTCTTCGTTCAGCATAGGAAGCTGCATCCCTACCTGCGCAAAATAAAATAAATATTAATATAATATAATATATAATACAATATAATATAATATAAACAGTTTCGCTTCCTCTATTTGTGGTGCGCATGCATTATTATTATGCAGAGCATTATTATTTAGGACTCTGAAATATACAAATATATAAATATACATATATATACCTGTACACAGATAAATAAAAAGATATATATATATATATGTTTAGATTTCGAATGTATGCAAATATATTTATCCTAACAAATAAACGTATAAATGCTATCGGAACAAACAAATACTTAAGTACTTGTACAGCTAAACATGTATGCATGAACATACAGCTGCTATCTGTAATTTAAAAACCTATATAAACGAAAAGAAGCCCCCAAAACTACAGAGACAACAACTTCATAAAAATGCATTTATTTAATTTGTTTAAAGAAAAAACTTTCAGGTGTTTGTATTGACGTACTTTTATTCCCGCCTTCGCAACATAGCCGGCCTAAACAAATAAGAGAGGAAAAGGAGAAAGAAAAAGAAAAAAATGAAAACAAAAGGATAAAGTGAGACCACACATCAACAGAATACAAACAAGCAAAGAAAAGAAAGAAGAAGAAGAAACAAACAGAAAAAGAAAAAGAAGAAAAAGAAGAAAAATAAACCAAAAGAGAGAAAACGAGGAAAAAGAAAAAGAAAGGGGAAAAGAAACGGAAAAAGAAAAATGAACAAAGAAACAAAAAAAAGAAAAACAAAAAAAGAAGAAAAAGAAGAAAGAGAAGAAAGAAGGGGAAACAAAGAGAGAACAAAAAGAAAAACAAAAAAAAGAAGAAGAAAAAGAAGAAAGAGACGAAGAAAAATAAAAATAAACAAAGTAAAAGAAAGACAAGCAGAAAAGAAAAAGAAGAAGCAAAGCCTCATTAAACAGAAGGAGACAGCCAAGAAGGAGACTGACGGGCGCCGTAACAACAAAGCGGTGAGGAGGATTTTCTTTTAATTTCTTCTGTCTTATTTTATATAACTCTAAACTCGTTGCCCCTTTTTCAGGCTCTTCTTCGCCTCCATAAGGCGCACTGTTCTCCTATAGTAAGTGAATATTCACAAACACCAGCAGCAGCAGAAGCAGCAGCAATTGTAGCAGCAGCAGCAGCAGCAGCAGAATTCGTAGCAACAGCAGGCAGCAACAGCAGCAGCAGCAAAGAGCAAGGAGGGGTTATACAGTTAATAGGGGGTATAGGAAATCACTAGCAGCAGCTACAGCAGCAGCAGCAGCAGCAACAACAGCTACAGCAGCAACAGCAACAACGGAAAAGACAACAGCAGAAATAAATAAAAAGAGATAGCAGCAGCAAAGAAGGAAGGAAGCACAACGTGAACAACACAACCAGCAGCAAGAAATTCACGCCCAAACCCTAAACCCTAAACCCTAAACCCTAGCAGAACGCAACCATAGGATTTGCTAGTAGACGGAAAAGCAAATACATAAAATAAAGGGGGCGAGGAGGATTCAGAAGGACAGCAGTTTTTTTGCATGCAGAAAGATCTCATTAAACCTAAACCCTAAACCCCAAACCCTAAACCCCAAACCCTAAACCCTCGGTGCATGTGGATGCTAAGTGGTTCTCACTCTTATCCTCATTACGATCCCGTTGTCATCGCAAAATATTGTGTCCTGTGCATACACCCCAAACAGGAAGCACTCGAAATCACAGCAGCAGCAGCAACAGCAGCAACAGCAGCAGCAACAGCAGCAGCAAGGGGAGCAGCAACGAAGGGCGTGGTTACAGCCGCCTCTGTTCCTGCTTCCTCTGCCCTTCATATTATCTTGTATTATATATGATGTTCGAGCTAACTGGATTAAGGGTTTAGGGTTTAGGGCTTGAGTAGATGTTGTTGTGTTATCTAAAGGAGAGCAGCGGAGGCCCCATTGCCTCGCCTTTATAATAAAATTATATTTGTTTAGGGTTTAGGGTTTAGGGTTTAGGGTTTACGCATATCCACTGCTCGGGCACCAGTTCTTGTAGGTTATTATTGCGTCTGCATTCTTCATTATATTCTTTTGCTGCTGCTGCAACTTCAAGAGGCCAAGGGGGTTTACCGAAGAATAAATGATGTTTAAATAAAGGAGCTTCTTCTCCGAATTTATGTTTTTCTGTATATTTATCGCCTTGCTTAGATAAGTACTCGACAGTTAAGCGATGCCCAGACAGTGTACGTACACCCTCCTCTTCCTCCTCCTGCTGCTCCTGCTGCTCCTGCTGTTGCTGCTGCTGCTGCTGCTGCTGCTGCTGTTCTGCGTCTTCGGGGTATTTTAAAGTTGTGAGAGGGAGACCCTTCTTCATTAAAAGATTCCTTGCATTGAGATGCAGAGGCTTCTGAGGGTACAGTCGAGGGGGCCCCCGGGGGCCCCCTGCAAGACTAAGATCTGCTGAAGGAGTAATAGGCAGACGCACATGCTGCCCTGTATATACAGCATTAGGAATACCTAAACACTGCTGCAGCAAATGAAGAATAGCACCAGGAAAAGGAGAAGGTGAAGACAGCACTGAGGGGCGCTTGCCGTTTATACGATTTGAACGAGCACCGTATAAACGCATGCAGACACGCTTATACACTACTGGCAACACCCTGCTGCTGCTGCTGCTGCTGTTGTTGTTGCTGCTGCTGCTGCTGGGATGAGACCTTGCGTGCTGCAGCGGGAAGAGACCGAGAAAAGCAAAGCTTCTGGCTTCTTGTTTTGATGCAGTAGAAAACATAGAAGTTCTCTCTCTATAACCTGCGGAGATAGCAGCCTTTTCGTTTGAATTGAGGTGTACATACACCTCAGAAACCACCCTGTTAGAGGGGCCCCTGTATGCAACAGCTGCAGCTCCACTGGCCTCATGCAGCAGCAGAAGGAGAAAAGACAGAAAAATGATATTAAAACTGCAGCAGCTTCCACGGCTATGGGGGCCCCCTAGGGGGCCCCTAATGGGGGGCCCCCTATTGGGGCCCCCTGGGCCCCTCTCCTTGGTGTTACCATTCAGGGGTTTGTGCATTGGCTGTTCGTAACTCCATTTATTGAAGAAAAAAACAAATTGCAGGAAAAGAAATATAAAAAAAGAACTTCTGAGTTTGGCTGATGGGCTACATCGTGGGGTGTATGTGCAGCTCTGAAAAAAGAGGGAATTTAGGAGGTAAAAAGGCAAAAATATGTGTTTCTTAGAGATGTAAAAGGCAAGGAAAATGAAATTAAAATAAATTAAAGGGTATATCAGTGTCTTGACGTCCATTGAACTCACGCACATCAGGGCAGGGGGGCCCCCCCAACGATATGGGGGCCCCTGGGGGGCCCCCGAGAAACTGTACGCATGCAGACGAAGACCGTGCAAAATTATGAAATGACCTTTTAAAAGTTGAATTTCACCGATTTCCACTAAAAATGTGTGGAAACTTGCAGAAAAAACATCTTTTTAAGCAAGTTTTCTGCAAGTTTAAGTCTTCTATCCGAATGGAACCGCAAATGAAGATCCTTAAAGGACTTTCTTTCCACTTTCCCGCTTCTTAATCGTTGCATTTTTTCTTCTTTTCTCCGCCTTTTATCGGGAAACTTCTGAAACAACCGACATTTGCAGCTCTTTTCTCTGCAACTTTTGAGGAATCTCGAGCAAGAAAATGAGATCAAATAGATAAAAATAGGAATTCAAAGGCAAAGAAGTCCTTATTTATTGTTGCTTTTCTTCTTTTGTTCATGGAATTCGATTCCAGTGTTTCAGCAGTTTCCTGCTGGGGTGTATGTACACCTCCTCTATTCTGTGCAGAATTGCGGAGTCTGCAAGAGGGCAACTGGCGGCATATTTATGAATAATGAGTTTTAATGGGTTTATTTATTGGTTTAATTTATTATTTTCTTTGATTTGCACGCCGCTTCCCGCAAAAAAATGAGAAGATTAGAGGGAGTATCCAGCATTGCAAAACGCCTGAACAGAGGCGGCAGAACTTTTATTTCTTTTCTTGGGCGTTTTGCTTTTGCATTTGGAACTCTGCATGTCATTGACAATTACGTCGCCTCTACGAAACAGGTATTTCTTTTTGAATCTAAATGAAGGATTGAAGGCTTCATTGATGCTAATCCGCAAGCTAGGCGTGCAGATAGATAGACCCACAAGCAAACGGATATGCATAAATGCATGCATGCATGCAATACAAGGAAAGACGTTCCCCAACACAAGAATCTGCAGTTTATTACTTTGCTATAGATATCTCCTCCATCGATTTCGTGAGGACTTTGTTAGCTGCCTTCCTCAATACTTGCAATCATATGCCGGTCTCCCGTCCCCTAGAATACGCAGAGCAAACAAAGTGCATTTGAATGCGTTTAAGCTCTTGAGGTGTATATACCCACCTATAGACACACATAAGCATGTGTACCTACATGCATAGGCCCTAATGCATAATCTATAATAAAATGAATAAAAGAAAAGCAGGGAAATAAGAAAGAATTTAAATAGCAGCAAGTGTGTGAATGTCTCTGTACACCTCAGGCTCGTGGTTTATCTATGAGTCCGACGATAAGAGAACAAGGAGATTTGCTGCTTTATGAATGTTTAAGCCTTCATTTGGCTTCGTTCTTTAGACGACCTTCTCCTATTAAAAGGGGTGATATTGTATTAGCATATTCACCTGAAGATGGGTGCATTATATGCAAAAGAGTTATTGCTGTTGAAGGAGATATCTTCATTGCTCAACCTCCAGCAGAAAATCCTCAACAGCCGCCTTCACTCGTCGTCGTACCCAAACACTCCGTCTGGCTCCAAGGAGACAACGCACGTGAGGCTGCTGCTGCTGCTGCTGCTGCTGTTGCTGCTGCTGCTGCTGTTGCTGTTGCTGTTGCGGGTGGTAGTGCTGCTCCTGCTGTTGCTGCCGCTGCTGGTGGTGCTGGTGTTAGTCCTGCTGCTGCTGGCTGTGCTGATGCTGCTGCTGCTGTTGTTGCTGGGCCTGTTTCTGTTGCTGCTGCTGCTGCTGCTGCTGCTGCGGCTTCAACGTATCTGCTGTTCATTCTGTGCAGCTTTTGGCGTTTATTTAAGAGTTATGATTATGCATGCATGCAGATACATGCGTCTTCTTTTATATCTTCTCTTATCTTTCTTACTTTATCTTCGTTTCTTTATCATATTTTTACCTTAATTTGTTTATCCTAATACCTTTATTTGTTTGTTTGCCTTAATTCCAGTTATAAATATCTTTATCTGTATCTTAATATCTTCATATTTATATGAATTTGTTAATATTTACATTAATTTATATTTATATTAATTTGTTTATATTTATATTAATTTGTTCACATTTATATTAATTTATATTTATATTAATTTGTTTATATTTATATTAATATATATTTATATTAATATATATTTATATTAATATATATTTATATTAATATATATTTATATTGATTTATATTTACATTAGTATATATTTATATCAATTTGTTTATATTTATATTAATTTATATTTATATTAATTTATATTTATATTAATATATATTTATATTAATTAATATTTATATTAATATATATTTATATTAATTTGTTTATGTTGGTGCAGCGATGTCTCACGACAGTCGGAACTACGGAAGTGTAAATTTGTCGATGGTGTTTGGTCGGGTTGTTTGTCGGCTTTGGCCTCCCTCTTTGTTTTCTTTCTTTTATTCTTTTCTTCCTAATCATATCATTCACCAATTCATCAAACCCTCTCCACAACAAATCGCTAGCTATCTTGCTAGCTAGCTAGCTAGCTAGCTACCTAGCTACAGTGCTAGCTAGCTGGATAGCTAGATAGATATCTAGCTGGCTATTTCGATTTATAAATAGCTAGCTAGTTATTTAGAATGATATATAGATAGATAGATAGCCAGCGAGCTAGCTAGCTGACCAGCTAGCTAGCTAGCTGACCAGCTAGCTAGCTAGCTGACCAGCTAGCTAGCTACACAGCGAGCTACGCCTGGCTAGCTGCTGCTCCATGAAGCAAATTGGGTCTGCCCCAGTGCAGCTGGCTGCCTCTGCCTCGATAGCCTCGATAGCTGGCTAGATAGCTAGCTAGCTAGCTAGCTAGCTGGGCCTTTGCAGCTAGCCAACTAGCCAGCTTGCTAGCTAGCTAGTTAGCTAGCTAGTTAGCTGGGGGCTTGTTGGGATATGTGAATGTGCTGTATAAGACGGAATTTGCTCTTGGAGCGCCTTATAACCCTTTAGGGTTTAGGGTTTAGGGTTTAGGGTTTGATGGGAGGGCTGCCACTGCGAGGCATCTCCACTGCCCCCTCGCCCTCTCCCTACAAACTATTGTATGCTCTGTGGTTTAGGGTTTAGGGTTTAGGCTTCACATCTAAACCCTAAACCCCTAGGGTTTAG